TGTTTTTAATGTAGTTAGCGTCATATTCTATAGCAAATTTGTCTAGTTTATAAAAGGTTGAGTTTGATTGGATGCCTCTGCTTTTTTTCTATCCTAAGTGTAGGATTATATTGTTAGCCGCATTTTATTCTTTGTATTTAGCATTATTTTCTCATCTCCTGTCCGCAACATTATCAAAACAAGCTGCCGCCCAGTCAGTTGAGAAGCACTGGTCTAACAAAACGAGAGCTTGCTATTTTTCATACATGCACCATTGAATGACCAGGGAAATGTGCTAAAGCGAAGTCTACAATATAAAACGAAGAGAGAACAACACGGGCAGGCAAATAACGTTGGTGCACAAAAGGCTGCCAGAGAATAAGCTCAATTGGAACGTGATTGTCATAGCGAGGCTTAATCTTATTCCCTGCATTTCAACGATCTCTTTCACGATTGCTCAGCTGCTGTGAGCTTTGACATGCCATTCGTCCCGCTTTCCTTTCTCTCCCTCTCTCTCTTTGTTAGATCGTCCCTGTTTTTTCTGTAATAGTAGATTTAGTATTTATTTGACACATGGCACGTTGTGCGTTTGTTCAGAGACAATGTTTAAGGCAACAATGACATGTTGTTTGTTGCTCCGCGCCGAGGGGGTTCGCTTTCTTCCTAAATCCGTCCTCAGAGAGAAAGCGTATAATCCTTAGTTGTCTCAGATGTCAAAATGTGGAGTGATGAGAGAAGTAGGATATGACAGATATGCCGTTATTGTGTGTGTGAAGATGATATCAATTCGTGAGGATTTGACCGCGCTACTGTACCAATTTCGATACCACAATGCATTGTGTTTACCAAACAGGAAAGTCAAAGCAGAACATTAGTATGAGCCGTTTCATACCCTGTCAAATAAGAATGCAGTTATAAAACCATGTTCTCATCTCTTTGCCTCATAGATGCAGATTTATTTCTACAATTCAGATGATTTTGACAGTCTGAGCACCGCGATAAAGGAGAGACGAATCATCGCCGCCATGGCTGTCTTCTTTCAGGTGAAGATCTTCTTTGATTTTTGGGGGATTTTCGGATGTTTACCAGCCTGTGAAATAGGGCTTTATAGCTCGTGGTACCAGAGACTAAAAACATCAGATAGATTTGGTTTGGGCCCATGTAGCCTCAGGGCTTATTTTCACCATTAGAAATAGGTAGAAGAAAGCACAGACGTCTTCTGCTGCCCTCTAGCCATCTTTCTCTCAAAGTATAATAGAATAAACTTGCTTCTAACTTCAGTTTCAAAGAATAATGGAAGTCCATGGGGCAAGGCATTGCAATGGGATTAAAAGTTAAAGTATGACTGAACTGCTTCAGCTGCAAGACTTTGGGAGTGACTAGCATGATGAAGTGGCCTTCTAACCTTCTCTTTATGAACATGTAAACAATGACATAAGCACGCACAACAATGACGTAACCAAGTGGTCAAAATTTGGCATGGCCTCTTCTGGTGGATGTAGTTAGCCATGTATTCTGATGAAAGAAATTATTTTAATAAAATTGTTATATAATGCCATTTTAGTAGTTCAGTATATTAGGGGCATTATTGTGGTTTTTTATTATTGTGGGAAACCAAAATAAAATCTGCAGACTTTATTTTTTGTTTTCCATCTGGGCCTGCATAATCAGACATTTATCCTCTAGAAAAGTAGAAAGGATGATTTAGACAACTTTACAGCTAATATAACATACATTTTATTGTTCTGCTTACCAAAGTTGCACTTATTTGACCAAAAATACAGTATAATCAGTAATACTGTGAGATATTATTACAATTTTAAATAACCGTTTTCTATGTTAATGTTTTTCAATTTTATTTATTCCTGTGATGCAAAGCTGAATTTTCAGCATCAT